TTGTTATTTTAAACAGGAGTTAGCGAGTGATTGTTTTGTTAACCTTCCAGGATTAAGTTAACCGATTCAAAGCTAAGGTCTTCATTTCACGGTTGTGCTGTTTAAATATTTACGCAATTAGTTATTCTGTCTGTGTTTGTAGATTTATTCAGGTTGATAGTGAAGTTGCTGGATTTGAGATTAAACGTGTTTCTTGTAATCAAGCATTAGTTGTAGTATCTTATTTCTTTTCCGTATTTTCTTTTAGATAAAACGAATACGAATTTTACGTCCGATAAAAGCAGCCAGTCTGACAATTTTATGGTCCAATCAATTCTCTTGTAAAATACTTGAACTGTGAAATTAAAAGTTAGCAAAGATAAGCAACCAATAAAATATCGCAAGACGCGAATGGTGGGACAGTTAAATGGCATCACAAATATTGACTTGGCGGTTCCCCGGAGTTTTCCCGAGTTGTCGGCCGCGCGGGAGCCGGTTGGCGTGAAGCCAACCAACCTAGCCATTTGTGTACCTACACTACACTCAACCCCGAGACGTGTTATGGAAATTTTCTTAATTTCACAGCCCTATAGATACCGCTTCGTAGATACAAACAACCGTTAATCTTCATTGGCAATTTATATGTAAAGATGTTACGCCCCCACGGTGTCGTTTAATCTATTATTGTCGCTGAACACAATGTATTGGAGCAATTTTTACTACTTACATACTCCATTTGTATGCAAAAAGAAAACATATAAAACAAATGCTTTACCTAAGCAAGTTGTAAGTATTTTAATTAATTACTAATGTACTTTTAAATTGAATACCGCTGCAATCGGAAAGTTGACGGGTTTTGAAATACGACGAGAATATTAATTAAAAGTTACGTTTCTCATTCTCGTGAAGAAATTACTTCTAAGTAAAAAGTGGTTTCGCGGGCGGATAATACCACAATGTGTTATTACAGACTGAGTTAATCCGCTTTTGTTATGAGTTCTGAAAGGATTTATCGGGCTTTGTGTCTTTTCTTACATTCTTCGGCTCAATACCGCCACTGAGAGTCAATCAGTGCGATAGCTATAATAAACACTGCCAGTAAATTACTTTCCTTTGAGGATTACTTTCTGTTATAAAATTGAATATAGTTACTGAAGGTTGACGATGAATGCTGCAAGATTTTTTTCTATTTATTTAGTGCTCTCGTCTTCGCTAATGAACAAGTTCCCGGCTTAACACGAAGGCCGCCATACGAGGTTATTCCGGCCCAGGTAAATGTTATTAGTGAAAGCTTTCGTCTTAGCACCGTGTAACCGCCTTAATGACGTCAATTTGAATACGACCGACTTGTCGGCTCCACTCCACTCCACGGTAATGTAAATTTCCCGCTCGTGTCAGCTTCGAAAGCCATAGTTTCCTAGTATTATTTGACACCGAAAATGGGCTGTCAATCAGGGAACGATTGTATCGAACTGATCCGAATGAGCAATTTGGCAATCAGGCAACTTGAGCGTTAATTTATGTATTGCTCGGTGTAACCTTGCGATTAATGGATGTGGGATTTCGAACTGGGAATGAACATTATTTGAATATCGGTTTTATATGTCAGTACAATTATCGTATGTCGTTGTATCATTGGATATGAAAATAGGTTGAAAGGCCGCGAGGGACTGGCGCGACCCTTCGGCTTACATACATAATTACTGATGTCAGTACTCTGATTTTGTTTGATTATACGTGTTGCCGTATAATCCGTGTGCGTGTTAATTGCGTGATTTATGTCTCGAATTGAGGCCAGCTAATTATCTCTTTTCATTTCCGTTTTTTTCGATTCAAAGAGCTGAATTGATTGATTAAAGTATTAACGCCTAAATCATTGTCCTTCCAGCCTCGTATTAAAGCTACATTAACTTTTAATGTCCCTTAAACCATCTTTTTGGGAGGTCATCTTTTATGAACAGTAACCATCTGGGTAATATACCCATAAACTTTTTATTATATAAAAAGTCTTTTCGTGTTTTTACTAACAAGACAGGAATGGGATTCAGTACCTTTTTTGGAGCTTTGTTTTGATTAGTTTTTATGATGATGTATTTTAGTTATGCATTTTTTTAAATAGTACCTACCTTTATATAGTTCCTTCTCAAGACTCGAAGATAAGACTAACCTTATTGCTAATCTTGTTTAATTTTAAAACTGACAGTTTTACGACTAGACAGAAGATCTAGCATAATAATAGCAACAGTCTCACCTCACCCCTTATAGGGTCATCCAAGAGTTTTTTGAGATCAGTTATTAGCAATCGTAAAAATGCTGAAAACGAATCTAGATAAGAGTCAGTTCCAGTTACAAAATAAATTTGCAAAAAAAATTAATGAAAGAAAGGTCTTTGTTTAAAGGGAAATAAACTATTAAAATACCTACCTATTATATAGGCAAAAAGTACCTAAATAAAGAAGTATGGTAGTCATTACCTATCTAAATATTATATATTTAGTTACTTAATAGACCTAGAATGCGAAGGGAGCCACATGTCTTACGTGCATAATTTATTAATGGGTCACCCGTTAATTAACTCCGCTAACCACCGACTAATTGTGCGTATTGAACTAGTTGCATATAGTAGAACATAGGTACTAAACTAAATATGTATAATGTGGTTAGGTAAGTCTCATTCATAGGGCTGTTTGTAAGATTGTTGATGATATTTTGAAAACGACTAGACTAAGGTTATCATTGTTACAAAATGTTTAGTTTTAGTAATTAATTTAATTTAATTAGAATAAAACCACAATCATTGTTTAGTAGCAGACTTATTATATGTCGATTAAAAGAGCTGTAGATGTAAAAATATTGCTTACGATAGTACATCGTAATTATCTAGCACGTAGCTTAAGATTATCGCCATAATATATTAAACGTTACAGTAATAGTAATAAACCAAAACACATGGCATTCTATTTTACACCAAGAATTTATAAAATGCTTTTTCTCAGGCTAAAGTAATGAAGGGCATCTGTACCGGTACCCTTACTAAGCGACTCCCGCTTGATTTTTCCGCCCGTATCTACTTTCCCTTATCAAAATTTTGATGACACGCATCCAAGTTACCATGGTAGGTACATTTTCCCCTTAACTAGACCATAAACGTTGCCCTCTTTTCTACTAAAGATCATTTGATAAGATTACTGGATACGAGGACGCTCCCAAAAGACCCTTTTAAAAGATACGTGACGCAAACAAAAAGAGCGGACCACAACAGCGCCTTACAAAGCGACATAATCGAATCATACCTGCACTACGTGGGCATTCGATGGACAAGAATTACATTTTTCCATTTACTCACAACAAAAATATCTTGTATTAACGGAAATTGCAAAAAAATCTAACATTTTCGTCCAACCGACCTAACGTGCGATACGCCGTAAATAACGCTACAGATATCGAGTTTTATAGCGCGGCTAAATGGGCATTAAAAAAGGAAATTTGTTGGAGAAAAATAATACTAGCTACCAAAAAGGTTGTATGCTTTAATATTTACTGCTTTTTGTTTCTGTCGTGTTAAATAATCCTATTACATAAAATAGGTTGGTGATGTGTGCGCTCACGGACGCGGAACTAAGGCGGCCGCAAGCTCCAGAACCTTTCTTAGAAAAGTCGGGCCGGCTTCTGTATAATAGGACGCTCTAATAAACCGCAGCACGCCTCCCGGCTGCGCTCGCTAGTCGTCGGACGTAAATTTATGATATCGTTTAAATGGAACATCGTGAACGAACTCTGTAATTCATGCAGCCTTGCTTCCTACTCGATTACCTGAAATACGTGAGAGCTTAGCTAAGTTATTCTTAGAGATATCTACAACTGAGATAGATAAGAGAATACAAAGAAAATGTACGATAAAATATAACACGCAATAGCGTCTGTTTGGTACAGTTACATAATGTAGACACATTATCGCCGCGTGTTTTGACACAAGTTGTTTTTGTTCTCGAACTTTCACAACAAACTTCATGTTCTGTTCAGTGGGTACAAAAGAAAGATTCTTTATTCACTTAGTTGAGTTTACCTAATGTACATAATTAAGTGGATCTCTTAGAGGCTTTGTTTCTTTGCTTAACCAAGTCGAAGTTGTGGTACGGTGAGTTAAAACATTTTACGTAATAACTTTATTTTAAACCTTACTACTTTAAATGGGAATGTTTGTGAGGATCTTCGTTAGTCTTTTACGTGAATGTCTATGTACAGAGATTTTCCAGGGCTGGGAATGGAAAATTCATGTATTACATAATTACATGATACTATGCTGCATACTTAACGTGGGTGAAACCACAAGTGGAGTGCTAGTTTTATTTCTACTTTGTAGTAGGATTTGTATCTGTATCAGTTCTTGTTTCATATTGAGAAACCTATAAACATTAAATACGTAAGTAAATACACCAATAAATAGCTCATTTTAATATATTTATTACGAAGTAAGTAGGCATTTATTCCGCTTTCTTTGTTTTACAAAATTAATTGAATTTTCGTCAGAGAACCACTTTCACGCTGAACACGTCATAACAAACCGAAAATTCCGAAAATTGTTTACTTCAGAACTCCTGTCAATATTTCACAATATTAACGGTTTGATGAAATATTGTACCAAAACACCGAGGGTAACCTTCATTTCATTTTACGCTGTTTTCAAAGGATTCTTCAGGCTTTTTTCATTGACTGTAACGATTTCTATGAGCGTCAATCAATGTGAGATTAAATAAAAAACATGACAAATACAGGACGGAATTTCATATAGGACATAATATTCAGGGTTTCATTTCAGGAAATTGAAAAGAGAACTTCTTACTCGCGCTCAGATTACAAAATATAAATAAATATTACCAATATTCGTCAATTTGTCTACTTATTAGAAATGTTAAAATAGCGGCTCATTAAAATTCGTTGATGTGTCCTTTAATAGACTATCTTGTACTATATAACACCAAAAGTATAATTTTAAATAAGTTTTTTTCTTTGTTATACAGTGGATACGACGGCACAGTACGATGCAGTGCGCGCCTACCTCAAAGAACTGGACATTTCGAGCGCTGTGTGGGTTGGTTTGATCCGAAGCAACCCTGATGGAGACTTTACTTGGACGTAAGTTTTATTATTAACTTATTACTGGTATAATTATTGAAACTTTTGCCTAAAATCTAAGCTATAGGCTGAGAATGAACACTAGTTAACTCATAGAGTTACTTACAATTTAATTTGGTCTTTTCACACACTAATATGCCTTCAAAGTGTCTACCAAGACGTGTTTTTTTGATCGGCAATTGCAAACATTGTATTTTCATCATCAACAGCTTATAAATGCCCACTGCTGAGCAAAGCCTCTTCTCACATGGAGAAGGGAAATAATCACCATGCTTGCTTAATGCGGGTTGGCGATTTCAAACTTATAATTAGAAATTATAAGCCCAGGTTTCCTCACGATGTTTTCCTTTACCGTTGGTCAGTGGTGTCTAAATAATCTTAGAGAGTACATTTAACTCGGAAAAAGTCACATTGGTACTTGCCGTTGGTAAGTTTTGAACCTGCACCCTCGTGCATGAGAAGCAGGTGTCTTCAACCTCCGGGCCACCACGACACTCACGACACGACACGACATTGTATTTTATTTATGCTTTATTATTTCAACTTAACTCGCATTGATCAAGCGTGGTGATTAATGCTTTTAGCATTAATCACCACGCTTGATCAATGGTGTGACAAGAGGCTTTGCTCCGAAGTGGGCATTTATAGGCTGTTGATATGTGTGTGTGATTTCAACTTAATGATACTTATCTATGTTGTGAATTCAAATTCTTTACTTTATGCCCACAGAAATATTAAAAAAGATACATCTGTGTTTATGCCAGTGCAGGCATTAAAGTATCAAGACCTTACTTAGGTACCTACTCATTGAAATTTGTTTTGTACTTAGTGATTACCGAGGTTTGAGTGGTGAAGGGTACTGGAGTTCAGCACCCGATGCTCGCGCAGCGCCTCTCTGCGCAGCCGCCGATCCTGCTGCCGACTACCGCTGGGAGGCTCGCGCTTGCGGTGGACCAACAGTCGCTTCTTTCATCTGTGAATTGCCGGGTTCGTTGAAAATATTTTTGATACGTTTACTATAGCTAAAACAAGAGAATATGTATATGTGTACTTAAGAAAATGCCAGTAGTAATTTCCAATTTTGAAATAATAATTAACTTTTTGTCTGCCACGTCAAAACAAATGGAACCCACCTCGGAGCTAAGTTTTGATTAAAATGAGATCAACATAATATCTCTCTACTACTAAACTCTTACTATAAAATCAAATTAGATATTGAAAAACGGTGGAGTGTACGTACTGTACATAGTTAGAAACAAACTTAATGTTTAACCTGATAGTACTAAACTAAATCTCGTATACTAATAAAGTACAATATAAATCACAATATCCTGGCTTATGTACGTAAATACGTATATAACAGTAGTTAGGTAGTTTGCTACAATCTCAACACAAATAAAGGCTGGGAGCTAAACATCTTAGTTTAGTAGTTGCTTCGTAAAGTAACTTTACGATAGCTTAGAATCTTGTGCAATGTAATACACAGTACTGTTTACCTTGCTAACTAGACGATAAGATCTAATAATAAAATTTCCTTTTGTACGCAGTACCGCAATGGGCTCTTGGGAACGAAGGATGTATGGTGCGCGCTCTACCAGCGCTGACGATCCTGTATTTGCCTGAAAGTGCAGCTGTTCAGCTGACCGCTGACTGCGGCCTAGCTGGTGTGAAACGTGTACAATGCACAGGCAATGTGGTAAGATGGCGAGATCTTCTTTCTTAATTAATGTTAACATTGTTTTGGAATCAGATTTTTTAGGTTCATTTTCATTTCACAGAAACGCGAAGATTTACTTAGAGACTTGGCGTGCGCTGAAGAAGAAGAAATAAGTAGCCCTGCTAGTTTAACATCTGTAGGTAATAATTGGCCAGCTTCAACTGATGCAATATTTACTGATAATGATATGACAACAACTGAAGTCACCACTGAAGACAATAACATTACAACTGAACATGAAGACGACATTAATCAGTCTAGTACTATCGTATCTACCACCATAGTTCAAGACGTGAATTTCGTCACCGATCAGAAACCATCGGTCACGTTTGTTAACGCAAATAAATACAACAGAGTTAACTTTGAAAAGAACCTTGATTTGGGTTTAATTCATAACAATAACTTACAAAGTAATTATATTCCGAAAATTGCCAACGGAGACAACTATGTGACAAATGAAGATTTGGAAAAAATAGAAGATGAGAAGCACATGCAACATAAAATGTTACACGAGGAAATAGCAAGGCTTGGTAATCTTGAAAATATATTTACACAACCTACAGATCATTTTGTTCCACCACTAGTTATGGCCAAGGCTAAAATCAGCGATGATATGACTGTTCTATCTCTACAAGAAAAACATGCCCAACAGATGGCTGAACAACACTATTACAAACAAAACGGTCAATATGGACAAAGTGATCACATTTATCAAAGCAATGTTGTAAAATCAACAACGGAACAACCAAAACCAGCTACAATGGATAAACAATCTCAAACAGAGACACCTAAAAATAAGGATGACTTGAAAAAAGACAAAGTGAAATCTGTTATGCCGAAAAAGTATAACGAAAAATTGAATGACCCTAAAAGTAAAGTTCAGAAAGTGGCTGAATCAAAATTATTGGAAAAGGCCAAAACATCTACTGCACAAATGGAAACTACAGTAAAACCTAGCGAAACTACACCACTGCCACATTTTAATAAAATGGATGACGAATCCGCTATGGATCTAACTGTTTTCTTAAAAGACGAACCAGAACCTCTTGAACCAAAAATTTATTACAATAATTTTACTGGTGATGTGTCTAAATTAGAAGTAATCAAAAACAGTACATATAATAATGATACCGAAATTAAATTAGTGGATGTAGAAGCTACGGAAGAAATAAAGCATGAAGAACGTCCTATTAAGAAATTTGAAGAATCAACACAAAATATAACATTAAACCACGAAGTGATTAAAATTACTATAATTTCTGAAGGTCATACTACTGAGAACCCTACTACGTTTGAAATAACTACTAAAGTGCCTATTATTCAAGAAACTACTCGTAATAATTTGGAATCAACCACTCATAAAGAATCACTCGATGATATTAGAAACAAAAGTGATGTGTTCCCAACTACGCAACTTGAAATAGAAGCAACACAACATGAATTTGAATCGGTTATCAATGTTTCAAGCGTTGCTGATGTGGTGGTGACCACAAATGAGACAATTGTACTAAGTCACACCGAATCAACTGAAAATACACCCACTACAACCAACGAAGTGCCTATTGCTACTACAGCACAAGCTAGTTCTAACTCTTCTCAACATAGTAAGCCGCAAGAGCCTTCCACGTTTGCACCTGCAGTGACTGAGCAGATAATAAAAAACGAACCTTACAACGACGATATACATGAAGAATTCGGTGCAATGACTAATTCGTCAGATGGAATTGATGATTTCCAATCGCCATTACTTTCTGGTGCAAATGAACCAGCACACAGACCGAATAGGTCCCGGAGGCCACAGCAGCCGAATCGAAATAAATTTAATCCATTTCGCATATTAGGTTAGATATACAATAGAATACATCAATAACTATTGAATGAATTACTGGTGATGACTGAACAAAACCGTAACATCTAACGTAATTAGATATAGATCACATGGATCACAGTCACATTATAAATTGTGATGGCACGGTGCACGTAGTTCATTATATTGTTATGTTCGAACGTTTAGGTAAATAGGGGATAGGAGGGATGGAAATCATAATCACAAACAAGAACATTATGAATGTCAGTTCGGGTACGGATTTCCGTTATTACCGTGTTTACATCAATAGCTAACCTTTGTAGTTTCATAACATGTTTACTCATACTCATATAATTATATGTTTACGTGTAGCACTTTATTTCAAAATGTATTTAAATATTTTTTAGATTAGACTCATAATGTATTCTAGTCTATAACCTAGTCAATTCATGTTTTGATAGCATAGCTATTTAATAAACTTGTTTTTATAGTATCGGTAAGGTACCCATAGATTTCAGGTTTGCCAAATTTCGAATATCTTCATATTAGTATGAACATTAGTACCATATAATACTGGATGAGTTTCACTATAGAAGTAGTTTCATAGGCGCCATTGATACATTCATACTTACACAGTAGGTTAGTTCGTAAATGGATTAATACAAACGAAATTCACGAACCATATCATGTTAGAAATAAGGTTTAGTTTAGCGAAATTTATTTTTTATGAATCTTAAGGTAAATAGTAAGATGATGCACAAACGAGTCAACGACAAAGATTCACACTACATGACTTAGAATACAAGATCAAAACATATTCAGAAATATTCAAACAACTGTCATGTAGCTGTAGATCCTTTGTAATATTTTTTTTATAATTATGTAGTCTCCAAATTATGTAATAAGATTTTTTAATAAAAATGATAAAATATTTATAATGTTTTTTATTAAATTCGACGCACTTGTATAGAGATAAACAACAGTAAAATCTCGTTATGACGATTATTACAAAACTTTACGAAACTAACTAATGTTAACTTTACACATTATCTCGATATCTATTATCCGATATGACCTCCTCAAGGGTAAATCATGTTTAACGCTTGCTCAAACTGAGTTCATCAGTAAATCCGAGAGGCGAAAGGTTAGTCTATTAAAAGTTTTTACTTTCGGAAAGGCATTAATATGAAAGTTCTAGCTCGATATAAGACTGCGGGGAAAATTCGTAAGTTTCGAGAGACTCAACCGCAGTCAATATTTGCCGAGCGCTTTGCCGCCACCTCACTCAACTTGCTCGCTCTTCAAGGGCCCAACTCCAACTCAATTTTCTCTTCGAGACCGTTTATCAATATTACTTATATCAACTTCGATAAAATTCTCAGGTTCGGCACAATTCACTTTGGGTATATTTTCCTTCGTCATCCCACAATATAAGTTTTTCACTCCGTCCCCGATTTCTCCCTCCAATCGTATTTAATCTGGTATTGCGAAATCGTATAGGTGACTTCCGAAATAGAAGAAACCCGAGTTCAATAAAATACACGTACCTGTGGGCAAGGTGAAATCGAAAACGTGATTAATTTTGAGGGATCTAAGCTGTATTCATGAGAAAAGTTGTCAAGGTATTTTATTTAAGCCGTAATATCATTCCACGGGATCATCCGGTTGAATAATAATACGAACTTTGAATGTGCTGTAGGCTTTATTTGGCCCTTATGTATTGTTGCTCATAGGGACGAATTTCATTCAGAACCGGGCCAAACAATGAGCAAATAGTTGGTAAAGTTGGTATATATTTACACAACAACGAAATTGCTGGAGACAATATGAACGTTTATGAAATTTTAATATTAATATTTGATACCATTTTCACGAGGATTATGTTTTCTGAACAACATTAGTGTTACACAATGAATTTCACAATGCGGTTTGTAAGAGAAGCTTAAGTTGCATTGTCTCTGCATGAAACTGCACCACATGGCGACGTAATGTAAGTATCTGTTTGTGTACGGCTAATTAAAGGAACTCCGACGAGTTGTTAAACAATAATCTTATTTTTTAGAAACACAAAAGGAAATAAAAACACGCTAGGAATTATGAAATGAGAAAACATCGTTCAACAGATTCGATCAATGGATTGAAGAAAGAAACATTGATATGTTATACTTTACCTTAACTTTTTCAGTAATATAAAACTTAACATTTAAGCTGGCATTAGTGTCACGTTGACCGCACGCTGACCGTCAGCGCTGATAGCCGATATATATGAATTACCTTGTAAGCCCGGGACTTCGCCCGTATAGAATATGATTCCTATCTTATCTCATGGGAGCATTTAATCGGGATAAAAAGTCGTACCCTGCTGTATTTAACATTTCGTCAACATCCATTCAATAGTTTTAGCGTGATTTCCGGACAAACATCCAAACAACGAAACCTTTACATTTATAATTTTAATGTGACTAGAAACCTTACGAGCTGATAGCTACGCGTCATTCAAAAACGTTTCCTAGAAGTTGATATAACTCGGCTGTCAGCGCTAACGGTCAGCGTGCGGTCAGCGCGAGTCCAAAACCAGCCTAAGTGTGGTAAATAACATTCTCGTTCAACGTGAGTTATTCAAAGGATTAGACAGATAGTATAGTATTAAGTAACTGTTAACTGTAGTCAAAGTCACGACAAACTTAGTTCTGTTTGTGGCGTACCTACGTCCTTTAGACGTTCTAGCTTACTTGTGTTTCAATACGACTTATACTAAGTTGAATATTATTACATAGGAGAATCAAAGTTCGTTTTGAAATAGTGTAATAATGAATACTTAAAATAACTATGTGGCTAATAATATTATCATCAACATTATAATCACTGAACAGAAAACAGGTCTTTTCTTTTGAGGGAGGAAAATCATCTAATGACTTCTTCCAAATACTGATGAATTAAGGTCTATTTTCTATAGAGTACTATATCACATGTAGGTACCATATGAGGCTTACCATAATCCCCATGCTTCACAGGTAGTCAGGGGATCATAAATAGGTCCCCGAAATTTTAAACAATACAAGACATTACAATTTTATTCGGGTCTTCAAATATATTGAATCCAAAGAAGATGGCGAATATGGATACTCTCTTCGGTTTAGCTACACACGATTTTTAACAGACTTCAAAAATAAATAATTCTTGTATAAACTACGTTTAAAAAAAATTACTTCAACCCTCGTTTGACAGACATCTGTATGTAAAGGATAAAAAGCAAAAAGGCAAAAAAGGAAGTCATCAGTTCGACCTCTACGTATGTATGTTAATGCGCGAATATCTCTCGATTGGCTTAAGCAATTTTGATGCGGTTTTTAAAAAGGTTTTTGTTACACATAGAAGGTTTCAGTATATTACCTAATTAACCAACTTCAAAAAAGAGAGAATTGAAGTTCAAAAAGAATTATGAAATTAGTCAAATGCGTATAGATCTCTCCTACGCCCATATTATTATAATTTTACAATAATTCCGAAAATCCTACGAAAAACACACCTTTTCAAACCTGCAAAGCAACTCTGTGTTATAAACGAACCTTAGAGCATTTAATCTTTCTTTTCTTGCTGCATAATCCTCTTATAATATTACAAAAAGAAACAAGAATATTTCCTACGAAGTAACGAGTTAAGTAGAGGGAAAATTCTTAAAGGTATCTTCGTCATAAGTGAGCCAGCGAATGAATTGTTAGGAGAAATGTATCAGGAAATTAATAAAAGAAAATAACGTGAAAAGGACGAGATTGCTCCTTCCGCGTGTTATTACACTTGAGAAAAGCAGAATTATATAACTCTTTGAGTAAGTAAGTGTTGTATTTATCTGAAGGAAGGGAAAGGAACATGGGATGTGTCATGTAAACAATATCAGGATATTGGTTTGAATCCTGTCCTATTTATTATGTGTACTTTGGTAGTAAAATTATCAATTGGAATGAGCCTGAAAGAGTAGCTCAGTGCTACTCTTGAACACATTTTCAATCACAATGAGTTCGGTAAATGTAAGATCGTCCTTAGTACCTAACTCATCATCAATTATGGCTAAAATAGTGTAAAAGTTAGTAAACTTTCCCCCAAATACTGAAAGGCTGAATACTCAATATTAAGTTGTACTTAAATATCGTGCCATCTCTTTTATTTTTAAAAAATCTAAGTGACCGAACTATACTTAAATTTGAGTGACGTTTGAGTATTTCATCGTTAGCTATTATGCGTAGATCATAAGTTATTAAGTCCATCCTCATGAGGGTCATTGTCATTTATGATAATCCTTCTTAATTAAGTAAAGAAGCGCTTCGCATCAAGCTTCTTTGTGCGTACTACTAAGGAGTGGAATTCTTTGCCAGAGTCTGTATTTCCTGAAGGGTATAACCTGGGTGCCTTCAAGGACAGAGTGAATAGGTTGTTTATGGGTCGACGTGCTCCATTGTAGGCCACATCATCGCTTACCACCAGGCGAGATAGTGGTCAAACGTCAGTCCAACCTAATATAAAAAAAAGAAAAAAATATTAGTTAGCTCGACCCAGTATTAGGAAATGGGTTATTAATACTTTTTCAAGATTATAATAAAAAAAATAGACGAAAAGCTTTTTGCAAAATAACAGAAACGATTTAAAACAGACAAAATGTTTTACCAACTCAAGTATAACTCTTCGGTTGTTGCTATTGAGGATTTCGGAGCCGAAAGAATTATTTCACAGAACCAATTTGTCGGATTAGTACTGCAGAATTGCTGACTGATCGAAGCCAGTGCAGAGCCAACGAAACAGTTTTCCTACAAACATTGCTAACACAATGCATTGAGTCGGAGAAACAAAACCATATTGAAGTAGATCCAATTTCGAGAATCATGACTTTTGATGCTTCGGTGCTCTATTTTGCTTCTATTCTTTCCATCGGTAGGGGAAATTTTTTTTTCTGACTAACTCGATCATGTAATTATCCCGATCGACTGTTCGTTGGTGAAATAAAAGTATATATTTAATTTTAAAAGGTTTCCATGTGTACAAGA